TTCTTAGCTAAGAGAGTCTCCATATCTGAATGATCTTTAAATTGAAGTATGGCCCCAACTTGTTCATGAATTGTGGGATGGAAGTAAGGGCAAGGAACAACCTAATACAAACCCATTTGACTGGCCTATTGGCAAGGGTTGTAGCTCTCAATGTTGGAGTTTGAGAGTCTACTAGTGGAGATAGACCCTCCCACAAAAATGTATCTAGGAGTAAGGATTTGAGCCTAAAAGCTTTTTTGTTTCTATCTCCAGTTGTCATCCAAGGTATGGGGCTCAACATTAATATAGGTGACTCTGGATGAGGTAAAATGAAAGTGTTGGAAGGGAATAAAAAGCTAGGGATCTCTGTCGATAGGTAGTTCTAAGAGAGTGGCAAACACCATGGTGAAAGAATTGGAGGTAGCTGGTCTGAAGGAAAGAAAAAATTCTGCATAACTTTCACGTAGAGAGAGATATGGAATCTTGGTGGTAGGCCTCATTTCAGGAAAATAGGCATAAAGTCCGGCTTGGAAAAGCCAAAAAGGGTCACCACAATTATGATCAATTTCCTTATCAACCAAAAAGAAAAGACCTCTATACAAGGTGTCTAGAAGAAAAGGAATGAGGCCAGTTCTGTGCCTTCTTGGATACAAGTGGCAAGGGTCAGGTATTCTTTGGTAATTTTAAAGCCAGGAACACATAAAAAGTGTTGAGAGAGCCATAATAAGTAAAAGGTTGTTCTCTCTTCATCTATGGGTTCAAGACCAAACTGTTGATATTTTACTTAGAATTTTCCATAGCTATGGTCAGTATTGAGTTTAATAGGTTTCTTGGGAGTTAAAAAGTGCACTGATATGTTGACCAGAAGTAAGAAGGCTAGTTAAGTAAACGACATCGAGAATGGTGGGAGCAATCATACCACACCTCGGATGAAGGCGTTACATGGCAAAAACCAATAGCAGGCAGCAGCACTGATGGCCCATTTGTCCATATCTAGGGCAAAGGTTGATAGTTGGATGGCATCATAAATACCTAAAGCCTTGTAGGGATCAATGTCGTACACCATCATCCGCTGGACCCATAGCCTCCAGTTAGGGTTAGGTTTTTGCCATGAGCACAGAGGGTTAGGACTTGAGTCCCAATGGTACGAAGCCAGCTTCGCCTTATGGAAAAGCATCACTTCAGCGTCTGCAATAGGGTAATAATGAGTAAGTTTGTGAAGAATTGTTGCAATGAAAGTAGGACCAAATTCCCCCTCTACAGAGCTGTTGCTGCGTGGAATAATACAGCTATTGAACATGCGTTTGAGGAGTAACTGCTGGCACTCAGTTGGGAAACGTTGCACATGCAGAGGTTCAGTTTGTTTTTCCTCTTTAGCTTGAGCTCGTTTGGGCGCCATGGAAATAGTGTGAATAGAGGGTTTCAAAGTAGAAAGGTTGAAGAGTCGAAGAGTAGAGCAAGGTAGAGGGAATGAGAGGAGTGATGGTTTGAATTCTGGCATTCAAATAGCTTATGGTGGACCCTCCTAGGCCTATTACTAGTAGTTGGGCCTATTTAATTATAGATTGGGCTTGTTACTAACAGTTGGGTCTATTTAAATCATCCTCTAGGGTTCATTTTACTAGGATCTGGGTTTTATCGCAGAATTTGGGCATTGATATGTGGGTTTGTGGTTATGGGCCTATATTCATTATTACTGTGTCTACGTAAATAAGTGTCAAGACTTAAAGTTTTTTTTATGATATTCGTTCAAGACAAAAACATCACTTTGTCTTGAATGAGGGGGGCATTGTTGACACTGGAATTTATTTTTTTCTGAAGGATAAGCATAAAAAAATATAGAGAGCTGATCCAGTTGATGCTAGGGGTGAAGACCACAAGTTTATAGTTGGATGTGGGTCCCAGAATGTAGAATAGGTGCTAAAAATGAAACAATTAAATAAGCAGAGGTGGTAAAAGTAGTTTTCTCTGTCGATTCATTTGATAGTGCAATAGGATGTGGCCAAACATGGCCTAGGAGTCAAGCCATGAAGTTAGGCATATAAGTGATGTAGGGCACGTGGTTTGTTTGCAAGAGAAAGAGAAGTCTGCAGTAAAGAGGCAGTTATAAGCGGTTATGGAGATCATGGGCAGTTGTTTACTCCATGATGGAAACACGTGGCAGCAAAGAAGTAGCAGGGCCAGCAGCATAAAGGCTTGAAATTCGAAGTAAAGAGGGGCTTCAACAAAAATTCACAACCCATGTGAAATTAGGAGTAACTTAACTTAGGTAGCAGTAGTTTTTGTACTTAGGAGTATTTTGTTTGTAATTCAGCCTCTGTGGCCAAGTTTTCCCCTGTCAATTGTTAGGCATATTGAACTTGTAATTTAATTCTTGCAATTAAGTGGCAAGTTTACTTGTTCTCATTCGAATTTCAGTTTATTCACACTTGTTTCTTCACATTACAACCTCTAAAGAAGTCCTTGAAACTGTCAAGGCATAGAACACCAACCACAATTGTTTGATCTGTTGTTGTGTATGAAATTTTGGTTATTTTGTCGAATCTTCTTTGTCGATTTGACCCAAACTAGATTTTTGGTAACATATTTGGTTACAAAAAATAAAAAATAAAAATAAAAATATTATAAGGGACATACTTCTAAATAAGCCCAAGGGGGTCCTAGGTTAGCTTATGTGGCAAGACCTCTAATGGCGGTGCCATGTGGCGTGATGTAAAGTTGCCAAGATAAGGGTAGAGTTCAAACCTTAATCAACATATGATACAAAAGTTACATAATTCTAATATGAGAATGAACCAACCTAGTCGGGTAAGGAAATTTTACCTTGTGAGGTTGAAACCAATCCAACTAGGTTGGGAACCTGTCATGGAGAAGATAAAGCTCAAGCTTGCTGGTTGGAAGAGGAGATTTCTCTCCTTTGTAGGAATGCTAACACTAATTAAAGCAGTGTTATCTAGTCTTCCGGTGTACTACCTCTCTCTGTTCAAGATACGAGAAGGGATAGCAAAAGAAATTAAAAAATTATAGGCCTCATTCTTATGGGGTGGAGCTGAACTAAAGAGGAAAGTTCATTTAGTGAAATGGGATGAGGTAACAAAAAGTATTAAGTAAGGGGGGTTGGGTGTTAGAAGAATCAGAGACATGAATGTTTGTTTATTAATGAAGTGGTGGTGGAGGTATGCCAATAAGGAACAAGCTTTGTGTAAGAAGGTGATATGTTGCAAATACAGAGTTGAAGGTGGAAATTGGCGTCCAGATTTTCAAACAGGGGTCAGATTCTCCAAGATTTGGGGAGATATATTGGTGGCAGCAAATCAAAAGGTCAGCCTACTGCAATTTTATGTAAATAACCTTCAGATTAGAGTGGGTAATGGTTGTGGAGTGTGCTTCTGGCATGATTGCTGAAATGGTGGAGTTAGCCTCAAAGAATTATTCCCTAGACTGTTCAAGTTGTCAAATGATAAGGATGGGTCTCTCAGGGATTATGCTGACAAAAGAGGTAACTCTGAAAATTGGGTGATCAGTTTTAGAAGGGCTTTATTTCAATGGGAACAAGAAGAGCTCCTCACTCTTAATCTTTCTATCAGACCTGGTCCTGTTTTGAATCGGCTTGAAAAAGATAGAGTAGTTTGGTTAGCAACCAAATCCGGTCAATCCTTTGTCTCAACCCTATACAATCACACTGATTTAGAGCATGGTGAAGTCAAGAGTTCTAGCAGATTGGTGTGGATCAAATACCTCCCACCTAAAGTTAAATTTTTTGGATGGCTCGCATGGAAGCATAAGGTAAAAACATCAGTGTTCATGCCCAGAATTGGAGTGCTGAATGATAGTGCTGTCACTGTATGTATTTTCTGCAAAGCTGAACAAGAAACAGTTGAGCATGTGCTTATCTGGTGTCCTATGATCTGGAGAGTTTGGACTGGTCTCCTGCAATGGTGGGGGAGCTCATTGGGTGGTGCCTCAAACTGTTGACGGGTTACTGCAGTGGTGGGCTGGGAACAAGTTCATGAAAGCTGAAAAAAGAATTTGGAATGCTATCCCTTTGGTGGCTCTCTGGTGCATTTGGAAGCACCAGAATGATTGTCTCTTCCAAGAGATCCAACCAAACATGGAAGAACTACTTGAAGTTATCATTGCTAGGCTTGCAATTTGGTTAAAATCCAAATCCAGGGATTTCATTTTTCAATCATTGATTTTATGTATAACCTAGTGCAAATTAGATTTTGTCTGGGTAGGAGAGTGTAAGGTTGTATTGTCTCTGAGGTTTAAGGGGTTTTGAGTTGGAATCTTTCTAACTCTTCTTGGGGCTTTGGAAATGCACATGATTAGTTCTGCTATGGGTGCCAACCTAGTTGGGATGCATAGCTGGGACAATGATGCAATTTCTTTCCAAGCTTTTGTAATTTTTGTGTTTTAATCAAATTTGTTTTTGCTTGCTGCTCAAAATAAACTAGGAAGGAATCCAAGATAGCGGATACTTGCTAGGAAAGTGTATTCCTAAGAATATAAGAAAACCTATGGAGTCTGCATGACACTCTTATACAAAGGCTACACCCTCAAGATTGAGTTATGACTTATTGTTAGCTATCAGCATATTAGAGCATTCTCGAGTTCTCGTGTTACTTAGAGTGTTGTTCACATTAGCATCAAAGTGCTCTCCGGTTGACAAAACGACTGGGTAGGTACTAACCTCAGTTGTGCAAGCAGAGAGCTCGACTGTATTCATCCACATCATCCAGATTCATTTGCTAATCTTGAGAGAACTATTTGTCATTCATTAGTATCTTTTCTAGAGTTCAAACCTTAATCAACATATGATACAAAAGTTACATAATTACGGGAATTACAATGCTCACGCTTATGACTCAACAGATTATGAGGACATATTTAAGGAAATACAGTTGTTGTTAAAGAAACTAACAAAGCATGTTTTCTTTTAATGACTCATATTTTTCCTTTCAATGTTTTCTTTTAGTGGTCTAAAATTAACTAACAAAAATAAAGGGAGAGAATCAAACCTGAGAAAATGTTAAAGATGCAGTCTTCTGTCTCTTATGTCTGACAAAAATTAGAGCCGAAACAGCCTCACTACAGCTAGCAAAAGGCAGAACCACAAAAGAGACAAAGAATTTTGGAACTTTTGTGGCGGTAGAGAAGTTGTTGACAGCATCCACCAGTGGATTAGCAAATACACAGACCACAGTAGTTCCCAGAAGCAACATCACTACTGCTTTGAAGGCATTCCACTTGGGATCTTTCATGCTTCTCTCATCGTCACTGTTGCTTTCATCCCCCAGTAAGTCATGTTCTTTCCTTGTTTGCTGGATATGTGTATGACAAATATCATTTTCAGAAATATAACATATTTCAGTGCTAACTCTTATAATCACCTAATGAGGCATAACATAAAACACCAAACCTGATAAAACTCAGATAGAAACCTCAATTGCGGTGAATCGGGACATTCATCACTTTTGTGCTTGGCAGAACGCTTAGCCTTATAAATCCAGTCTGAGATTCCATTGACAAACTCTTCCTTATCAATAAGAGAGTCATCGGTTTTATCAAATTCTTTTAGAATGGATGCTACTGCTTCATCGATATCATAACTATCCAAATCTGTGTCATCAAATCGGATTCCCAATATTAGTGTTCTTAGCTCTTCTGCTGAGAGGTTTCCATCATTATTCACATCAAGTACTTTAAATAACCTGTCATTACACACATCAAGGGGACCATTAAAAATAATACTTGATTTAGAAGTAAATTCAATTCATTTAATCTCATGCTTTTTTGTAATAAACTATAAGTTCCAGTATTAAATAATTTTGTGCAATGGCCGGATAAAAAAATTTATTTTGTTCAATGCTCTATTTCCTGGCATTTGGATTAGGAATTTATGTTTCATGTGGACAATTAGTCTAACAGAGTTATCAATAAAATAATTCAGATGAGTGAGAAAGGATTAGGTGACAAACTTTTCTAAAACTTCTCTGTCTGGTCTACCATCAATTGTGAGGATTCTTCCCAATGTACGCGTCTTAAAATCAGTTAGAATCACAGACATTACATGTTTATACTTGGCGAAAGCAAGTCTTCGCTTTTGAACTTTAGGTTGAAAGACCTGCAACAATACTCGAGGAATGATATTACATACTCAACTTGCTAAGTGGCAATGAGCCTTAATTACCAAAGGAAAGACATATATGAGCTTTGAAAATGAAATTGAAAGTCAAGTAGATCAATTACCTGATAGAGACAATATGAAATTAGAAAATAAATTGAGAGAACAAGCGCAGTCAAGACGGGTAATTGACTTTCAGAAGTTTTGTTGAAGACCTTTGGTAGTTGGACTACTACAAAAGGTATAACAGACACAACCATTATCCTTGCAGAGTAGCTTGTCCAGATATCAGTACTGACACCAGACGCTGCAAAATTAACAGAACTGTAGTCTTATTATGTTGTTCAATACATCATAGATGACAAAACAGATTAAATCTGATGTAGCCGTAGTCACTGTCTGTAACTTATATATGTTACTTTCTAACATATTCTTATTACTGGAATGAAGTCATATGTCCTTAAGTTGAAGCCCTCCTCCTTTGCTAGAGTACCTAGCCATGACAACAATTTACTACAAATATAGGTACAACCAAGAAAACATTAAGGGTCTGTTTAGATGGATGGATTTGAAATGCGTGGATTTGATATTATTTGTTTAAGGAGAATAACTCAAGTTTAGATCAGATAATTTACCTATCAATTTAAAGATTGAACTTGTATAAGTTTTGTATAGTGTAAAAATCGAAGTTTGACTTAAGAGCATGTGTAATGATGCTTGCATTACACTCTAATGACTCCGTGATAGAAAGAAGAAACTCACTTAGACATAAGGAATGATAGAAAGATCAACTAAATGCCAATGCCAGTGTCCCAAGAGAGCATAATTGTACATGAATTATTGTAATTCTAAAAGTTATTGATGCTCTTCAATATAGCTTATAGTTACTTAATAAGTGAAACGGAGCTATATACCAGTTAAGCTAAACCCTTTGGTATCTTCTCCATCTTTTGCAACTGTATCCTCCAGATCGCACTTGCCAACTACAATACAAGAACCCCATAGTAATGTTAGAAGCATTACAATTGATCCAGCTAGCAACCCCATCCCAACTGAAACCTGATCTTGAGCAGTTTCCTTGCTTCCCGATAACCCGGATGCTGCAGAAACCAATGACCACATTAACCAATAATTTAGAAAAATAGCTAGCAACGCACTGAACCTATTTCATAACCTTAATTTTTTTTATCTAATATATGTGAACAATGCTTCTTCTTGACGATTTTTACTTGGGAGCGGATATTTATGGTATAAAAGATGGAAAGAAGAAAATCAAAGCACCAGTAAGTTGTAGAAGTAAAAGGAACTTATTTTCATTCTTGCTGCTTTTTGGAAGCAAATTTAACAAAGTAAATAAAAATGCTGACAGCAATTGGTGTTCCATGGATGCCACTGTACTGATATCAATTTTCACTAAATAATTGAAAATTGAAAAGAAAATGGCGAGAGTGAGAGAGAGAGAGAGAGGTGAAGCATACCAAGGATGATAATAGCATCAGGAAGCGAGGAGAGGATAGGCAAGACAAGGCCTCCAATAATACCAGGGCCAAGAATTTCTAACAGAATCTCACAGCCTTCAGACAATAGTTTAGCTGCCCAGAACATTAAGTAACCATAGGCAAGAATAAGGAATTTATTTCCGAGAGCTGTGGTGCTGCATGGTAAGAATCCATATGTCTTCTCAGTCATCAGACCAAACCAAATTCTCAAATATCAGATATATCTGTTCTCTTGCATTTCCCACTCTGTCTGTTTCTGAACCACACAAAAAATAGTTAGTAACAATTCTGCGGCTGGCTAGTATGAATACCAAGGGAACAATGGCTACAAAAAATAATCTAGTTAGTATGATTTTCATGTTGTATCATAACATATAATTTATAATGTGGTTGAATAATATATATAGGTCTGTGGTCTTCTTAATTTGTTCGCTTATTGCTTAGCCTCAAAGGTTCATCCATGTCTGAGGATACAAACTCGCATATTATTTTAATAGTTGGTGGAGGATTAATAGGACAAAGAGCCGGTAAATAAAAAATAAATAAAAGATGCAGAATGGTCCATGGGAAAGAATGAAAGCAATGTGAACACAATTTCAGTTGGATATAAAATACTCAAAACTCTAGGGGCATGTTTGATTGGAAGGATTAAAGTATGGGATTAGGATTATTAATCTGTGGGCCCAATCATCCTATGTTTGTTTTGACATTTTGGTTTAGGACTATTAATCCAATGGATAATTAATCCAACAAATTTGTAGGATTATTAGTAATGGGGTAGGGGTAGGATAGTTAATACCACACTAATTTGATAGGACCTCACTATTAGTATTGTGAATCAAACATGACGTAGGTGTGTAACTAATCACAATCCTCTAAATAATTCAATTTAATGGAATAAAATAACCGGACAAACTCACAATCTTGGGTAGTTTCACCTGCCTTGCCAACTATGAAATGGTCAAATCTCAAAATTGTACTATGTTTTAGATTCCCAATATAATCCGGAGCACATAGCCAATTATCATGATTTGATTAATATTACTAAGGGTAAGGCTGGTCTACAAGTTTCAGACTAGGCTATGCTGTTAGACTTTCGTGGACCAATCACGGAACCTAGATCGATAATTTAAACCGTTCAATATGTAAGGTTCATCGAGTATTTTATCCCTATAAAAAAACTCATGTTGATTGTATATATATTACTATTTGATCGTATCACATTTCCATTAACAATTTTTTTTCAAAGTCATATTGAACGTTGACAGAAATGTGATCTGATCAAGTGATTATTAATATCCAATCAAAGTGATTTTTTTTAGCGGATGAAATATTCAATGAGATCTACATATTAACGGTTCGTATTATCGATGTGAGCTTCGGGATAGGCTCACTGGACCCAACAGTACGGTCTAGTCTGATTACAGACTGGACACAAGCCACACCCTAATCATTACATTAATTCTGTTGTCCTATACGAATTAAATAGAGTTTTCATAATAATAACGTGACTTATAATTTTAAAAATATTACAATCACATATACAATTTCTATATAATAATTTTGTTTATGCACTATTTACTTGACTAAGCCACCAACTTTGTAACCATCACATAAGAAATAATTTTTGCAATCAACAGTGATTTAGACTCCTTCAAATTTCAACCCCCACTACCCACACACACGTGGCGGGTGGTGATTGGAGGAGAAGAAAAAAAAAGAAAAGAAAAAGAAATAGTGACCAATTAAAAAAGAAAGAGAGTCAAAAGGGGGTGAGAAAAAGGGGTCCCAATCTTTATTGTTTTTGCAATTTTGTGCCTATAAATGGGACGATACGTCTCCATCTTGTGTTTCAATGACGGGTAAGGCGGTCAACCTATTCCTAATCAATGACAGGTAAGGCTTTGCCTTCTTTGTGTGTAATTACTCAGTTTGTTATTTGGTGTGAGGTGAACAATTGGAATAAACATCTGAAGGTGGGTATCATTGTTCATATTGCCAATCATATTCAAGAATTGTTTTTGTTTTGGTTGTTTTGGTGGGCTGATATGTGGGGTTTCTTGTATTTTAATTTTTTTAGTTAAGTTCTTCTTAATTCTTTGTTTAAAAATTGTGAGGCTTAGGGGTTGGTTGTATGGATGCGAGTAGCAGTAGTAGGGGTATTTTTATACTTCCGAATCTCTCTCGATGCATGTCATCTTCCTGTACTTTTAATTTCATGCTGTTAAATGAAATTTTTCTTTGCCGATCAAAAAAAATAATAATAATAATAATATTCAAGAATTGTTTGGTTCATAAATTTGTAGCTCATGAGCATATCTAGTAGGGGTTGGAGCGGATCGGTTGTGGCCACAGAGCTTCTAATCTGCCATCCGTCTATCAGATTAGCGGATTGGAGAAAATCAATCCGCATCTGTTCGTCAATCCGGCGGATGTGGATTTGAGGGGATTGGCGGATTAGCGGATGGATGCGAATTGGTTTGGCGGTTTACAATTTTATAAATTTTTAATATAATTCAACTTGTGCACTTCCTAAAAAAAAAAAGTATTACAGTCAATGACTTAAAAAAGTATTATAAGCCTCATCCAAAGAAAGAAAGTTTGAAACTTTAGAATATTACAATCACTGCATGCCTCATCCACATATTACAAACACAACATGTTTCATCCACATAAAATATTATAATTTATGCCTCATCCACATATTACAAACACAGCATGTTTCATCCACATAAAATATTATAATTTGTGATTCCTAAAATATAAAAACAATTCAAACCACTAAAACCATGAACAGAGCAATAGTAGAGATTGTATGCCTCTATATTGTTACATCTATATCTATTTTTCAAAACAAAAATCATTATTTTTGGAGTTAGATTTGAAAACAAAAAAAAAAATATAGATAAATAATACATTTTTTTTTTTAATTCAAAAAATATATTCAAGTTGGATGCTCTTTTTTCAACCGAATATATTCAACATAATATTTAAACTTTTTTTCAATTGAAAACACAAATAGAATATCTAAGCAAATTGAAAACACAAAGTCTTATAAATTACTAGAGATGCTCGAGATTTGGCGGTTCGGTTGTAACCAAAGAAACCTCAAATCCGCCATCCGTCTGCCAGATTGGGGGATTGAAAAAAATCAATCCGCAACCGTCTGTTTGTCATTACGTATCCGTCCAAAATGCGACGGATCGATTCGGTTTAGTCAATTTAGACGGATCGATACATCCGCTACTCACCCCTAATATCTAGTCTTTATTTAGAATACTTGGTTATCCGAGTGATCCAAAATTTTGACGTCTATTCAAGGATTGAATGTTTTGTGCTATGACCTTCCTAGATAGACCTTAAACTGACATGGCTGTTTTGACTTGTAAAACATAATTGTGAAGTGGATAGAATTTAATAAAGCTTTCCAGCTTGCATATATGTTACTTTGTCCTTCTCGTGGTCAGACTTGAAACTTTGTTTTTGTAGTTAATCAACCGACTTCGCTCAGTTATCACCTTCCCTGCATCTTAATACTTCAATTCTCAAATTTTACAATTTCCCAATGCAGAAATGGACCCATCTAGCTTTGCCATACCTATCCGTATATATGCCTCTGCTGAAAATAACTTGATTACCACGCCCAAATCACTTTTTTTTTTTACTAACCAAAATTTTTTAAAAAATTAAATAAAAAAAAAAGAAAAAAAAAAAAGGGAAACAAGAAACAAAATACAAACAACTGAAATTGCTGGGTTCAATCCTGTAAAGGTTAAATTGGTTCATTTGGAATGTAGGCTGACTTTTAGCTTTTTGGCTTCTTGGCTTTTTAGCTGTTTTAGCCTGTAGCTAAAAAGCCTCATTTAGGATAGGCTTTTTTGACTTTTTTGATTTTTGTGAGAGAAAAAATGAAATGATTATGATTTGGATGTGACATTTTGTCTTATTGGGCTAAAAAACCTATTTTGTTTTTTTATGACATTTTAACCAAAAAAATAAATAAATCTCATTTTAGCTTATACCAAACGAAGACTTAATTTTCATGACCGAGCTTTACCATGATCACAAGTTTTAATGACTTTTTTCCATAATTTTTACAATAAAAAAAGGTTTAAGCCAAAGAAAACATGGAAACTTGGAAATATAGGGCTCTTCTGATGTGCTTCCTTGTTCCTTATTCAAGGGTTGTTTTGTTGAGACAGTTATCATCTCTAAATCCTAAACTATGTTGACATTATAAGAATTTTCACACTAAGGAAGTTTCGAACCTTAGATAACCTAGAAAGTAGGGACTAACTCAAGTTCTAAAGATCATGAAATTAACGAAAATTTAACAAAATGCTAAAGGTTTTGTACAGCCTCTTCAGTTAGTTATAATTATTTTTCTCCAATGTATCAGGTTAACAAAATACTTCAGGAAAAGAAAAACAAAAGAAAAGGAGGGAGGATTGGACAGGGAGGTTATTTGGTTAACAAGAATAAAGCATACCGTTGGCGATTTTACCCCGATCAGTAAGAGAGCTGAATAGCACAAGGGCTAGACCACCAACTATACCAGAGAAAAGAATTCCTAGCCGCTTCTTATTTCCACCAGACAAAGAAAGCTTGGCAACCAAGAACATCAGGTGGACAAGGACAAGGATCAAAAATATCTTCCCTGCGGCTGCGCTGCTGCCATCACTTGGTAAAAATCCATACCTTTTCTCAGAGTTAGAGGTTTCAGCTGAAACCAAACTCTTGAGAAACAAAAATATTGATTCCTGGATGTTTCGCAATCCATTCATTGCCATACCAGATACAGTGGAGAGCTAGGCCTAGGAGTTTGAGAAAGGAGGAGGAGAATGGCTAGAAGAGAGGATGCAAGTCTCTTCTGGAGGAGTATTAAAGAATACAAGCTTGGCTTTATTTGGGTAAGTTTATATAGTGAGGTTATAGGTAGGGAAGAACACAACAAAGAGTTTAATATGAAATAGGGAGACCAAGAGTTACCGAAAATATTTTATTACATATAGCTAGGAGTGTAAATTTGGCACATGAGCCTGCGGCCCAATCGAAGCCCGCTTGCGCTAGGAGTGTAAATTTGGCACATGAGCTTGCGGCCCAATCGAAGCCCGCTTGCGGCCCAGGTGAGCCCGGCCTCATCCGAGATCCTAGGCTTGGGCCATGTGTTTTGGAGTCCAGCTTGTGGCCTAGCCCAAAAAATTTCCCTTCAACCTAGCTCAACCCAGCCCGGCCTAGCCCAGTCCCTAACGATTCCCTCATCCAAGGATCCAAATTTTGAAAATTTTCAAATGATGAAAAATTTGACCATTATTCACACAATGGCCTAAATTTATTTATTTTTTAAATATAATTTAACCCCTCATTCCCAAGTCTTATAAATACCACCCATCTTCCTATCTATTTCTCGCAAACAAATCTCTTTTAAACTCTCATTCTCTCTCAACTCTCAACTCTCTCAATTAATTTTGAAGTCTTATTCCTAAGGCAATTGTAATTGTGCAAGAAAAATTTTTTATCAGAGAAGGCTAATTTTTGTATAGCATTCACCAGACGGTAACATTAATTATTTAAATTAATAATTATAAGTTACTCATTTTTTTTTTACATTAATTATGTATTAACATATATTACTTTTTATTGTCTACTCATTATTTTAATTAATTGTTAGTTGATATATATTATTTTACTTACATTATTATGGATCCTAATATTCTTAATGTTTATGTCGATATTGATGTATATACACAATATGAATCTGTTGATTCTCTTTCTACTGTACCTAATATCCCTCTTCCAGTAGTAGGACAATCATTATCTAAAGGCACAACTAGTACTGTTTGGAAGCATTTTGAAAAAGCATTGGTAAATAATTATGTTAGTACAACTATAATTAAAACAAAATGTAAATATTATACACATTTACTTAGTGCTGAATCTGAATGGGGTATTAGTCATTTAAAAAGGCATATTAAAAAATATTTACAAAGTCAACAATCTAAAATTAAAATTCAAATGCAATTAGGGGGTTCATCAATTAGTAATTTGCAAACATTTTTATATGATTCTATACGTGCACAAAATTTTGTAGGTAACTATATTATTAAAGAAGAACAACCTTTTACTATTAATGAATGTCTTGATTTTTTAGAAATGACTCACGAAGGTTTGCACCACAATATCAAGGTTTTTCAAGAAATACTATTAGACAACAGAATTTTAAACAAATTTGAGGATATTAAAAGTGAATTATTTGGCATTTTTTAAAATTTGAATGGAAGAATTTGTTTAACATATGATCTATGGTCAAATAATGGTTTAAAATATCAATGTAACCCTGCACATTTTATTGGCAATGATTGAAAATTAAATAAAAGAATTATTTCATTTAGATTGGTAGAACTTCCATACACTAGTTATTCACATGTAATAACAAATAAGAAATGTATTATATGAGCGGACTTTGTAAAATAACATATTTACCATTAGTTTAGATAATACAACATATTACGATCATACTGTAGCGTATTTGAAATCAACTTTACAATTACATGTTAATGGTGATTTATTTCAGAATATAGAAAAATTTGCCAATGATAAAGTATGTCATTTAAAAAATTGATTTTAGATGTAGACAGCAGGTATTAATAGGAGGAGTATTGACTTCCATATAACTTAATTGACACTAATTAACTTTATATAAAGATTTTCCAAAAGTTTTTGATACTGCAACAAAATTATTTTCTTATATATTCGTACTTCACCATTTGTTTTACATATGTTAGCATAAATAATGAAAGCTTTCACAAAATATATGGGTAATAAATATTATATAACCATTATAACTGTAATGAAAGAAATATTTGACAAATATTTTGATCGGCTGCCGCATCTTTTAGGTTTACGAATCGTAATTGATTCTAGGTGTAAAAAAAATTAGTTTACAAGAATTTTTAGATCATTTTTTTTTTTTGGCTGATCAAGAACAATGCAAAAAGTTATTTGAAAAATATAAGGAAGCTGTATCTGCAAATACACGTACACACACTACACCAGTCTCATCTCGAGGTAGAAGATTAAGTGTTTTTTCAATAATAAAATGTAGAATAATATATCAACACACAAGCGTAAGTAGTCCTAAATTACAACGTTATTTGGATAGCCCATCCCGTGGATCATTGTAATGATTTTGAGATTTTGGATTGGTAGAAACAAAATGAACCCATGTGGCATATGATTTCACAGATGGTCCGTGATAAACTAACCGTTCTTATTTGTACAGTTGCTTCTAAAATAGCTTTCAGTACAGGTACATGAATGTCAAGTGATTGCCGCAACATACTTTCACTTCAAATAGTTGATGCACTTATGATATTTAGAGATCATATGCATGTGTTTATAAGAAGACAAAATTATACTGATATATTCAAAGCGATTTGGATGATATATTCTTAGGCAACGCGAATGAATTGTCCGCTTCTTCTGATGATTTATCAACAATTTTTTCTTTCACTATATCATTTTATAATGTTTTTATTAGATTATTGAGGTGGAGTATAATGCAAATGATTGATAGGCTAGCAAGTGCCAATTTAGTTGGGATGCATTTGACCTATAGTGATGCAATTTTTCTACCATCATCAATAATCTATATCTATTTTATTTAATATATAAATTTTTGTAATATTTTATTTCATTTTGAAACAAAAATTGTTCATTAAATGTTATCTATTTAATTTAATGATTGTAATATTTCATTTCATTTTTTTTTTAAAAAAAAAGATTATGTACGTAGCTTCTAAACTAAATAAGAAAATGGCATAATATCATACCTTTTGAGTCATAACTACAAAACATAACATAATAACCAAATATTTCATTAATCATAACTAAAATAATATCATAACTTAAAAAGAAAATTAATCATAACTAAAATACAAAATGACATAACTTATATCTAGTCATAACTATAAAAAAAAAAAAAAAGAAGTCATAATTAAACACCACACGAGCCATAACCAAATAACTCTCATGAATCATAATAACTAAAATAATATTATAATAAAAGAATAAAATTATATAACTTCATACTATTTTAGTCATAACCAAAAAAATATAAGTCATACATAATTAAATACCATTACATAAAACATAACTAAACATCTCATTAATCTTAACTACAATACTATATATATAATATATCCATCATTTTTTTTTTTTTTTTGCCAAAAAAAAAAAAAAGAATGATGTAAAAACTAATTTTAAAAAAAAAATCTATAAAAAAACCCAATTTATAGAAAACAAAAAAAAGAGGCCTTTGGCTCGACCTGCAACCCTATTTTGAGTAGACTTAGGCTTAGACTTGGGTCTAGGCCTAACTTTTCAGTTCGTGTGCCAGCTCGATCAGGTCAAAATTTTGACAGAAACCCACGAAACCCGATAGTGGGCCGGCCCATCTCGGGCCAAGGTGGGCCCTAGGGGGAGGGGGGAGAATTACACCCCTACATATAGCAAAGCTGAAAGAAATAATAATAATAAATCTAGGCTTAAACATATGAGATTGGATATGGTTAGGGGTTGGACTAGTTCATATTTAATGGTTTAAATTATTATGTGCATAGAGATGAGCCTTGGCATACTACTTTCAGTATTGGAAATAACACCCACACCCACACCCACACCCACACCCACACCTACACCCACACCCATTATATGGCATCTAAAAATAGAGTTTTATATTTATATTTTAGTCGCTTTTAAAGGTGGAGCGGCATAAAACAAAAATATTATATATTAATCTTGCCCCTTAATTTCTTAACACATAATCATATGCTAATTCATGTAACGGAATGCATATAAGCAAGCAAGTCCTTGCAATATGGAAAGATTGCATAACAAGGATAGTCAAAGCCATAATAATAATACAAGGCATGAATTACCGTCAGAATGGAAAAACAAGGATAGTCAAAGCCATGATATAGTGCTTGTGCTATGTCATTTTTATTGCCTATTAGGGCGTACGAGATAATTTTATTATTATTATTATTTTTATTTATTTTAAATGGATGAAGGAAAAAGTCTATTATTTGGCTCAGCTTCCTCAAAAAACTAAGGACTTTTGGTGTTTGGAAGGTGCAGATTTTGAATATTGCCTGGTGAATATTTTCTCTTTTTTTTATTTAAGTTTTAATTACAATTTTTTGTCTTCTACAAAAAACACAAAAAAACAAAACAAAACAAAAAAAATAAAAAAATAAATTAATAGAATAATATATATAAACAATATTTGTTTTGCCACGAATACTACTACTAACATGCTCAGTTGTAGCTTTTAAAAGTGTCAATGAAAAGAACATATAAGTGGCATTTTGTAATAGTGACAGTAGCTTTGCAAAGTGTCACTAAAATGAATTTCAATGTCACTTATATCCATTTAATGGCACAAATGAATTGAATTTAGTGGCATTTATGAAGTTATTATAAATATCAATTGTAAGATAACAAGCGTCATTAAAAATTCATATAGTGGCATGTTTTAGATTGCAAGTCTTCTTTTGTGAGAACCCGAATATACAAATAAAATAAATAATTAGATAATAATAATTTTACAAATCTCAAATATTTGGGTGGTAAATCCTAAAGTGCAAACTAAATATTTGGAAGGTCTTTTAATTAATTTTAAAACATAAAATAAATTTATGGTGAAAGTTCTTAATTTAGAGGCAAGGTTTATTATAAATAAATATTAAAAAAAAATAGAGAAGAGGGTATGACTTGAACTCTAGACCACAAAATTAATGAATAAGGCTCTTACCATTTGAGTTGCATATAACTTATATATATATTTTGTATATTTGTCTATTTATTTTACCTACACATGCTTTAGGTGTACCTAA